AGGCCATTTTATGTTGGGTATATGGAGCTACAAATAATCATTAATAATATGAAGATGCTTGATAAGTTTTTCCTTGTGATCATGAAATCTAAGGTGAGTGAGGTCCCTAGCTTAGTAAAGAACTTTATCAAGTAAAGTGAAGCTCTAGAATTATCGAACATGGAATAGCATAGTGCAAGTTGTATCAATTGATGATCAACTTTGTTCACATGTAGAAGTATACTATTTGTCATATTTGTTTCAATGTAATGATGTTTTAAAATATTAACTTTTTATAATTTTTAATTATGCATAATTATATAATGTTATTCAAAAATGTGAACCGAAATCTGTGAAAAAGTCAAATGAGACAACTACTAATCCACGATGGTGACTAGCTTATAAGATTTTTGGGCTACTCCTTGCGAGTGCCAAATTCCATTAAAGATCGGTGACAATACGCAAGAATAGTATACACCTCGATCGAAAAGCAGCAGACAAAAACAAACGCACAAAAGATGATCATAATTTTGCATGCATGAATGCAAGGAAATAAGTTGAAGATATACAACATGCATGTAAATGACAAACATGATGATAAGGGCAAAAAATAGATGCACTCAACGACGCCACTACCTAGATGTAGGGAAATTATGTTCGTTAAGTGGAGCAACAATTCACCATCATTATAATCAAAGATTAATATTGTAAAGGGTGAAGATTGAGCTCAATACTCAAGAGTCATAGACTTATAGAGTACTCTAAATGTTTCGTGTATATAATCGACGTTCGTACTGCTTTTTATAGTTGAACTTTAACCGTTAATTTTTTATTCTCAAACTTTATCAAAAGGTAATCTTATGTAACTAATTTAAAATTCGAATATATTAATATATGTATAAATTTCAATATACTACGTATATTAATATTTTTTTCGTTCTATATCATTTACACAAGAAAAATATGTAATATTGTCCACACAATTATTTGTATGCGGCCTGCTATACTGTGTGACAGGGGTTACTCGACTTACTCGATCGGGGGTTACTTGAGTTACTCGATAATCCATGATCGAACCCCTCGAGTAATCCATGATCGAACCCCTCGAGTAACTTCTGACCGAGTAACCCCTCAAGTAACCCCTGATTAAGTAATCCCTGACTAAACCCTCAATTAACCCATGACCGAACTCCTTAAGTAACCCCTGACTGAATTACTCGAGTAACCCTTGACTAAACTCCTTAAATAACTCCTAACCGAGTAACCCATGATCGAGTAACTTGAGTAACCCATGACCGAGTAACCCCTAAATGAGTAACTCAAGTAACTCTTGACCGAGTTACTCGAGTATCCCCTGACTGAGCAACCCCTCAAGTAACTCTTAACTGAGTGAACCCCTCGAGTAACCCCTGTTCCAACCCCTCAAGTAACCCATGACCGAGTAACTCGAGTAACTCCTGACCGAATAACTCGGGTAACCCCTGCCACACTATGTGGCCTGCTGCACCAAAAAGTTGTTGTATTCTCCATGCCTTTAAGTATAAGACACATACTCACTTTAAGGGCATATATATAGGCATATATTTTATCAGATTATGAAGTAATCTTATTGAAAAGAATCACGAAAGAACATGTTTGTCGTAAAATTAACTTTATAGTCCCTAGGTCTAATTCATATTGAATTGATTTTCATATACAAGTATATACTTGAGGATGACACATGAAAAGGGAGGAAAACTAGCTTAGATTTGATGGAAAATCAGGGGTAGTTTATGTTGTAAATTCTTGGATCTAACCGTCTAACTAGAAACATTTGGTCAAACTTTTTGATTCAAAACTTATTAAATTAGCAATAAATAGAGAGAAAAAGTAATCGCAATAACAAATAATAATGCCTAATTTAATGTATGGAGGATTGGAGATATAGTCTCATGTTCAAAAGTATGAAAACTTATATACTACCTCTGTTTTTTTTTTATGTGCAACTTTTGTCATTTTAGTCCGTTTATAATTATGTGTAAATTTCTATTTTCTTTCTGTTTTTAGTAAACAAAAACCCTAAAAATTACAAAGTTACCCTTACTTAAAAATTCAAATTTTCTTAATGTTACCCTTATTTTATTTTAAACACAATAACTTTTTTGTCTAATCTAAAATAATTAATCTAATTTTACCCACCCATTTACTCATCTCTCTACCCACCAGCCACCACCCATTCACCCTCTTCACCTTCACCCTCTTCATCTCTTTCACCTTCACCCTCTTCATCTCTTTCACCCTCCTCCCTCAAGAGTCACGACCACCGCCCCTCCCACCACCATTCTCTCTCCTCCTTCACAACCACCTTCCATCCCACCCATCGGCTTTCTGGTTTTTTTTTTTTTCGATTTTCTGATTTTCGATTTCCTGGTCCTCGTTCTTCTTCTTCATTCAGTAACTGGTAGATCTCACTCTTTCCCTCTCTTCTTTTTTTTTGTACGGTGTTTAATTTATCCGATCTTAATTTAGATCGGAATTTTTGTGTTCTGTTTTTCCAAAATTTGGTTTCTTCGATCGATTTTGAGGTTTGTTTTTGTTTTTGTTATTCAATTTTGATTTTGATTTTGTTTTCACCACAATCTGAAAACTTTGGATTAACATTCTGTTTCTTGCTTTGATTTTTGAAATTTTTAATTTTGTTTTTTTTTAATTCGAGTTATTATTTTGAGGTTAACTTTGGATTGAATTGAGTGTTGTTTTGATGGATCTGTGTGTATAGTTGAGAGTGTTTGGGTGGTCTGGGTTAGAGGTGAATTTGGGTGGTGGGGTGTTCTGGGTTAGAGGGGTGAGTGATCTGGGTTGGAGGTGGTTAGGGGTGGTGGTGGAGGGAAATGATAGATTTCTGGGTTTTTTGGTTAGGGAGGGGCTGCCTGAAAAATGAGGGAAAGACGTGAGGGTGGTGGTGGTTTCGGGGGGTTGGTTGTGGTGGTTTCGTGGGGGTGGTAGTGGTGGTGGTGAAGGCGGCGGTGGTGGTGGCTGGGCATGGTGGTGGCAGTGGGTGGTTTGATCAATTAACCAAACATTTTCTCTCCACCTTAATTACATACTCCTATAATATATTAATCACCATTATACTTTCCTAAACTTTACCCTTCAATCTTTTACTTCGTGAACCGTAATATGCCCCAAAGTTGCACATAAAAAAAAACGAAGGTAGTATATGTTTGATTACAGCTATTGTATTAAATATTAAAAATTGAACTTCAATTAAGTATATAATAAAAATGAATCTAACAAGATCTCACATGACTATATATATATATATATATATATTTTAAAAAATATCTATAATCATAAATGTTAGTCAAAGCAAAGTTTATAAATAGTGTTAGAGTTAAAACATTTCATCTGATTTGAAACAGAAGAAGTATGAAGTATAGGCCAGTGATAAATAGAACAACTTTTGTGTGCGGTTGGCCACACCGTGTGGCCATGGCCAACTGACACACACCAAGTAGCCCCTGATCGACGAGTAACCTCTTACCAAGTAACCCCTAATCGACCAAGTAACCCCTGATCGAGTGAATAACCCTTGACCAACTTAGTCACTCCTGACTGAGTGAGTAACCCCTAACCGACCGAGTAACCCCTAACCGACCAAGTAACCCCTGACCGTCATAGTAATCCCTAATCGAGTGAGTAACTCTTATACCACTAACAAAGTAATCCCCATAATAGGTGGCTACCCGGTGTGGCCAACCATAAAAGTTTGTGTAAATAGAATAAGTAAATGTGAAAACTATGGAAAGAATAAGAGAGCTAAATTGAATGAGCGTCCCAACTTATATGAGCAAGGCCCAATAAGCGGTATCGTAGTCCAAGGTTCCAAAACAGACTGGGTTATGATTTATGAAGCTATGATATTACCACAAATTACTTAAGATGTATATTAGATGACTGTCGAAACACTCACATATTTTTTGTTCCTCTTCATTGGAAATTTTTTGTGAGATAATAAAGTCAAAAATAGTGACAATTTTTTTTCCCTAAGTTTCTTTCCATGAGACATTTTTCATAAATAAATCAACAACTTTTTCAATAATGTGGAGTTTACAGTTGATAGTGATTGGATAAAGTTATAGATTTATTTAAGAAAATAGCATGTGATAAACAAACACTCACAGTGTGTTTGGATTGAAGGAAATGGAGGGAAAGAAAGGGAAGAGAAATGGAAAGATGGGATATCTTTCATTTGGATAACAAATGAGAAGGAAAGGGAATTGGAGGAGAGAGAAATGGAGGGATTAAATTCTAAGAAAATAATCCTTCTAACAATGGAGAGATTTGGAAGGAAAACTCACCATTCTTTCCTCCCCTCCCCTCCTCTTCTCCTCCCTCTCCTTCTTTTTATCCAAACACATTGTGAGAGACTGGGGCAAGTTCATAAGGTAACTGAATGCAAACAATTTTGAAGAGAACCCCTTTTTCCCCTAATAATGAGCACTTCAAACATGGATAAGCAAGGCCCAATAGCCCAAGGTTCCAAAACAGACTCAAATTACTTCACATGTTAGATAGTTGTTGAAACACTAACTTTGATGTCCCTCGTTCTTTTTTAATTCTTCTTCATTGGAAATTTTTTGCGAGATAATAAAGTCAAAGTAGAAAGGATAATGACAATTTTTTTTTTCTTAAAAGTAACAGAAAATACAAGTTTCTTTAAGTGATAAACAAAAAATGTTTATCACATGACATTTTCATAAATAAATTAACATTTTTTTTATTAATGTGGGCTTTACAGATAATGTTAATTGGATAAAGTTGTTGATTGATATACAAAAATAACTTGTGATAAACAATTTTTGTTTATTATACTGAGAGAAAGTGGGGCAAGCTCATAAAGTAACTCAATGCAAACGATTGTGAAGAGAACCCCTTTTTCCCCTATTAATGAGCACTTCAAACATCCACGAACATCAAGTCCAAGTCAACATCTATAATTCTATAAAAAGAAATTGAAACCCAACAAAACTAAGAAGAAATTTATTCTGGAAGACACAAACCCCTCAAGGATTCAAGATCAATATCCGTCACATTACACAGTTACAATTACCCTATAGTAAGGGTAGAGATCTTCGAATTATCGACTAAAAATCGAGGAAGACAATGATTTTCGAAACCTTTATACTCCGGTTTCACAAGAACCACACTTGGATGAGATTTCTTACAATGACAGCTCCTTGCAAGTACATTAAAAAAGAATTCAATTTCCTACAGAGTACAACATTTTCGCTACATTCAACTTGCCAAATAGCTAGGGGCGGTTAGTATGAGTAATACAATTATTTTCGACGTCTTTTTCATCATAATAATCATTGGTAGAAACAACTAGATAAATATGGAGAAGATTGACGAGCTGTCAATCTGTCATCCTAACGCTTTCACTGTCTTTCATCACTTAGAAGTGTTACATGAAGTACTAAGCTAAGCTAAATAAGTACGTAAATTTCGAAGAACACGTAAAATCTAACTACATTTTGAGAAAAGTAACACATGGTAGGTAAACTAAAATGGACTAAAAGAGGAGACGTATAGTAAGCTATAGTAGCTATTTGAGCCTAATGAACGATGCCTTTTTATTTTTCCGCATTGAATTACTTTCAATTGTTGATGGGAGATCGAGTGTATCATCGAAAAATCGAATAATAAGCCTTTCATAGCATTAATGTGCTTAAGGAACACATACTCATACCTTCTCCAAATTATTCTAAGGCAGTAGTATGTACCATGATTTGCTTGGTTAGTTACCTTTTCGAATTAGAAAAGGAAATGGGAAGATGCTTGAAGTTAGATGTGTCAAACAACTCTATAAATCTTTGATCTGAGACTCTAGCTTTTGCTGCTGCAAAACGTTGATATTCGTCGAAAACGGATGACAGGCACCACTTCTGTAATTTTCTTAAACATCCCACCAGGCAGCCTGTTCGGTGCTGATCAATCGAATAAAATGCAAGAGGAACATCATTAGTTTATAAAGATCTAGACAATAAAATTTCGAATGAATTCGATTGCATGATGCTATAAGATGCAATACCTTTCCTCTTTTGCAGTGTATCAAAACTGGATGATTCCTAACATCTGCATTACAACACACACTTAAACAAAGATTGAACTAGAAAAAGAAAAAAGAAAAAAAAACATAGGAAAGTTTGATGAGAAAAGAAAAAAAAAAATTAGGCATGATGATCAGTTATTTATATGTCATACCTAGGAGAACTTTTAGAGCTTCACGTATTGCATCATCTGGGATGTTTACAAACGGTTCCTGCAAGAAATTGAACTTCCATTTCAATTCCAAAAATTTCATATCAATCAATACCAACCTATAAAAAATGAACTAAAAGAAACGCGTTGCACTCATCCAATAATAGAGGTACAACTCGTACTAGTAATATTAACAAATACTTCAAATATGATCAAAATACATAATTCAATTCCCGAAATCACTAAAAACAATTACACACACTTATATAACTCTATATAAAACTTAAAGTCCATCCATTAAATAATTAATAATAAAATTTTAACAAGCTTATAATATGACAGCTAATTTTGGTCGGACAAATGATCAAGACTAAGAAAAAGTGACATGAGTACTACTCGTACAAACATTATTATCTTTTCTTATTCCTTTACAGCTGACTAAGTAATATAAAACATAACGAAGAAAGAGTACAAAAGAATTGTAACTTTCAAGTGATTGGAAAAGGAATTAAAGAGGAAAGTGGTGGATTGCTCAGATTCTAGTTAACATGAACCCACAAAATCATAGTTAAATAAAATTCAAGCAATAAAAATAATTTAAACCGGCCACCACAAACAGAAAAAAGAGGCCATCCTATGTTTTGTTATACACTTTAACTCGTCATGGATGAGGTAAGTATTGAATTATTCAGTTTAGTTGACACCAACAAAACATGCATCATTCAAATTTAGGGGACCATCGTTTAGGTAAATAAGAAACTTCCTAAACAACATTTCTCTTATCATTAGATTAAAGTTGTCTATTTTTTAGCGCGACTTTGAGGTTTTAAGTTTGAGTTTTGCTAATAATAGATTATAAGGGGAGTTTTACCTTTATTTTTTTTGTCTCCTCACATGCATTTAGTTCGCAAATAGACTGACTTTAATACGTTGAACCTATCCAAAATAATTCTCTCGCCAATTGCTTTCATTAAATGTTTTTTTAGTTCTTTCTAGGTCATTATATGTTAACCACAAACTATCAATTTGAACAACATGAAAAACATTTAAGGGCTTAAGGCTATGAATAAAACCAATTAAACACACAATTTTAATTCCTATTGCATGCCATATAGAAGACTCTAGAAGCTATAAATTGATTGTAATTACCAACACCAACACGGTAGCTAGCAAGCTAACAATTTATCATTTTAAGTGACAAACTCGTCATCATTGAACTGGACAAATTATCATATTAACAAGACCCTTAATGCCTTAACTTCAAAAAAAAAAAAAAAAAAAATTGAGCTCTTCTACCATATTAACATATTCAATAGAACCCAACAACATAGTGTGTTTCTCATACAATGTGTTTATTATAAAAGTTTAGGAGTGGACGTTAGTTATATATAAAGGGTATCACGTGAATTTTGTAAAAGTACAAGGGTATATATCATGTAAACCTTTTCATATCTAGATAAATATACTCATAGTTTAAAGTGTGTAGAGATTATTTAAGTGAAGAATTGAAGCTAATTATAATCTAGGGGCTAACCATGATTAGAGACTGATTAGTCACCATGGGCTGTGAAGCCGCATTACACTCAAGGGCTAAACTCAAAACAACCAATTGAATCAGCATATTCTTTGAGTTGTTGGATTCACTAAAGCATTCAACTTCATTTTGCCTATTTTTAGTTGCCATCTGCACATGGAAATAAATACACATACAACAAACTAGAATGAGATCTACATAGACCAAGTACCTAGTATTATATAATTCCATAGACATGACGTCACCAAATTAATGCGAGTGGACAGTTATGTAATATATGGCTTTATTCTTTTCAACTTAGAAATGAAAAGGTTTTAATCAAATTAATTATTAGAAAGGCTAAAAACAAAATGCTTTAAAAGTAAGTTCATACACGTCACGATAACTTTTAAATTCAAGTGAATTGAAATAGCGCAGCCAATTCAAGAAAGGATTGCGATATTAAATTCATTAAAACTTCTCTCTAAAGATAATTCCAACTATTTCACCTTATCAATCGTAACAGCACAACCAAAAAGATATTGCGTAAGTGATAAAAGTAGCATGAACAATAACAAGTAACAACATATAAGTTCTACCTTTTCAACTTGAGACACTTTAAGAGTAGAATTAATCATAAAAACATCTATTCAAGCATGTACTACAAATCTACAATGGCAACTGGCTAAAAGGAAATTCACATTAAATACAAAAAAAAATTATAAAAAATCTACAAAGGAGGCAAATAAAGAACCAATCATAGAGCAGACGATTTCAATAGGACAGAAATATTCCATGCTCATTCTATGATAGCATGTGACAAGACTACATAACGTTACTGAAACACATAAATGTTCAAAAAATGTACACTAGCTAGTAAATACATGATACATAAACACCCTGAAGGCATATTCCATTTTCTATTTTTAAAGATCCTCCTTTTTCATCACTCTTTTTTAAAAAAATCCTTCTTTGATTATATTTTTAGTTGTCGCAGCAATCGACAAATAGACTGATATATTCCTCTTTACAAATAAATATTAGGACCATTTTTAATTACGTCATAAAAATAAAAAAATTTAACCATCCTAGTTAGCTTCCCTTAATCATACCATTTTAACAAAAATAAGTATAAATCTTTTGATTATGACAATCAAAGTACAATTTAAAAGACCGGTTTATGACTGAAAGTAAATATGCTATTATTATACTTTAAAAGGATTCTAAAAGAAAATAGCCAATTAGAAGATGACAGGTGGAATGTAGTGTATCGAATTTGTGTGCTGGATACCGTGAATGGATAATTCTTTTCGGAAAATCAAACAAAAGAAATAATGACTCAACTCGAAGATCAAAGGTCATAAACTGTTGTGATTTGAATCGAATCTGATCTAACTTAATCATTTCAAATCAAGAAATTCAAATTGACAACTCAAATTTAAGAATTTCAACAATAGCAAGATAAGATTGCGTTCATCTCAACTTTACTTATTAATTCGACCATATATAATTAAATACATACATGCAAAAACGAGTTATTACCTTGTGACCTTCAATTCCAAATTGGTATAACTTGATACCATTATTCTTGATGAACTCCAAATTCGTCTCAGGATATGGTTCCGGGCACAAATATCTAGGACCAAATTAGTCAACACAAATCATAATTAGGGCATATTTTATTTCTAAGATCAAATTGTAGCAAGAACAATGTCAATAAATATTCACTAAGCTAAATTATGAACAATAATTGAATCATTATGTGTCTTATCTTTTACGAAGTATTTCTACAAAGTAATAGTCAAAAGTTTGACTAGACACTTTAAACAAGAACATTAAAAAGAAATAGAAGTATCGTTAAAATACCAATTCAACCAAAAATTTAAGCAGACGGTTATTAAAAATAAAAAACTTACATAATAGAACGAAGACCTAAAGATTGAAGGAAAGGAAAATTGGGTGGTTCGGGGAAGCCGGACCGAAAGACGCCATTGTCAACAAATGAAAAATTCAATGGCGGAACGAAGAAGTGATCTTTAAGAACATCATAATAATCATGATCAACATCATCCAAGATACCAACACTAGCATCATCATCAGTATTATAAAGATGCTTATATTCCTGCTTCTTGTTGTTATCGTTGTCGACGACGAAGATGGTTTTGCAATTACCCGAATCACCACAATTAGGTGAAGATGATGATCTTTCAACCTTCATATTTTTTGAAAGGGATTTTATGTTTTTTTTTTAGTGTTGATTTTTGAAAGAAAAAGGAAGAAGGTTGAAAATGCGCGGTGTGAAATGAGTTTGGCGTCGATGAAGGGGTTTATATAGAGTTGGCTGGAAAAGGAGGAGAGAGAAAGTGTTTTTTTTTTTTGAGAGAGAGAGTCAAAATGGTGGAATTGAATAGAGAGAGAAAAAAAAAGAGGGTGGGGGGGTGGGGGGGGGGGGATTTGGAAACAGAGAACGGCAATGTTAAAAAGAGAGGACAATTGAAGGAATATTGATGAAAGTATAAACGAATTTTTTGAGTTTTAACCGCAAAAATAACTACTACTCGTACTTATGAGTAATGAGTCAATTCATGGCGTGAATTAGCTTAGTTGGTTTAGATATGTTGATATTAAAACTAATCTAACTAGATTTTATTTACTCCGTATTAAAATTTTTCTTATGTATTGTGTGAAATACGGTTAAATTTTAGTCAAATAAATATATGCGTCAATCATTCTAATCCAAAGATTCCAATAGATTAGAAAGACTATGACCAAGCTAGCTAAAACAAGAGCTTAAATAAACATTATGTTTAATGTAAGAGAAGGTATTGGGTGCGGCAAGTATACATGATATGTAGTATTTGATGGATGATATGTATTATTTGATAGAGGATATTTACAACTTGTTGGAAGGTAAAAGTTATTTGATAGAGGATACGTACAGTTTGTAAAAGTATATATATTATTTATTGGAGGATATGTACAGTTTGTTAGATGATATATAGTATTTGATAGAAGATATGTATGTTAGAGGATAAGTGTTATTTGGTAGTATATATGATATGTAGTATTTGGTGGAGAATATGTATTATTTAATAGAGGATATATATAGTTTGTTAGAGGATATGTATTATTTGATAGAAGATATGTACAACTTGTTGGAGGATATGAGTTATTTGATAGAGGATACGTACAGTTTGTTGAAGGATATATATTATTTGTTAGAAGATACGTCCAGTTTGTTGCCGCACAAAATATTGGGTGGGGCACCCAATAGTTGTGTTAATGTAAAGACAACAAATTCAAAAGAAGGTTGTGCTCACTTCACAAAAATATTGTAATTTCAATAATAATATTGATCTGTACCTCAAAACCCCATCTTGGACAACCTCTGGCCCCTAGTGTTGTAAACTTATAATTATGAAGCTACTTTCAATTAACAAACTAAAGATCAATTAAATCTCATTTACATTTGCTTATGTATCCATTTCAAACATGAATAAAGGAATAATGGTTCATTTAATTTCTTTGACAACTCGATCTTTTATGTATGTTCATATGATTTTATCATTTACTTGCTAAATTAGAAGTTGAATAAGTAAAAGTAATCATGATTTTGAACAATATTTTTGAAAAATTGAAAATAACCACTATTGTATTTTTAGAATTATTTGATTGGTTTTTTTTTTTTTTCAACTCTTGAAAATTGAAAATTGAAAATAACCACTATGGAGCATGCCTTCTAGAAAAACAGAAGATAAATTTGCAGCATGAGTTTTTGTCATAATAAAAACTAGCTTAGCAAGTGTGGAAAAATGAAAATGGATGAAAGATAGCGTGAGGCATGGTGCTCATTTGTCGTCACTGTCTAATTACCTAATTAATTGGAGGCAAGCATCACCCCAATCCACTTCTAACCTTTAAATTTCATTGCCCAATTTTAATGAATTTATCTTCATTGGGGAGCGTATTTTTGCGCCACCTCTGTCTATGGATTATTTTGGCATTTTTCTAAGAATGACACATTATAAAAAGAAATATTGCTACTCTTTTTTGACAAGAAAAAAAAGAATTTCACTAATTAAAGATAGTTAACCGGTACTTATAAACAATTCCAAGGAAATCTAAAATTTTAAAACAAGTACAAATCATCTCAGAACTAGTTACATCGCAGATTCGATCAACAATCGCTTTAATAAAAAACTTCATCCGAAACAATACAATTTGCGAGTTAGCACTAATTTGGCTTGAGATCTGCATATGAATAGATAGTTGTGTGGGTGTAAAAACTCATATATATGGCCTTCTAATTACTTCTAGAGATTATGAAACCCTAAATAGATCTTCAATCTTTGGCAGACGAACAAATAAAGAAATTAAGCGTAATAGAATAAACGCCATCATAAAGATGAGATTCATTTATTGAAAGCAATTAAAAAGCTTGTTGGGGCCTACCACAGGTAAAAATACTGATAGAAGACCCTATAAAAATTTACAATTGAGACCAGAAGAAAAGAGATGAAAGAGAAAGAGAGAAGGAAAACCTTAAAAAAAAAAAAATCTAGCAAAGGAGGCTAGAAAAACCCTCCCAAGGAAGAAACCCTATAGTGAACCAAAAAACCCTCTCAGGGAGAAAACCTAAAGGAAACGAATTAACCATGAATTTGACTATGGTGGTTTAAGATCTAGAATAACCGCCCAAATTCGACCACCATGGCTTTGATTTTGATAAACTTGAGCCCTTCTAGAGAGTTGAGGCCAAGCTTGTGCGGTGAAGATGAGAAAGAGTGACTTGTGCGAGAGGAGGGTTGCTGGTGACGCTGCGAAGGTAGAGATGACGAGAGAGGGTGACTTATGCGGGGAGGAGGGTAGCCGGTGACGCCGCGAAGATAGAGGTGACGAGTGAGAGTGATGACACAATTTATTACTTTGATTATGCGCTAAATCACGACACGGAAAACCAGGAATTGATTTTTTTTTTTTTTTTAACATATATTTGGAAATTGAAACTCTTGGAATCAATAACTCCAAGTTTCCAACACAATACATGTTAGGGTTGGTGGCTAGAGGCGGATACAATTATGGGTGTGCAAGTGCAGTGGATTTTTTTTCAGCTTTTAATTTCTTAAAAAAAAAATCCCTAAATTATATACGAGGGCAATTTTACATCTTATCTTGCGATAATATGAGACTATGTCTTTGAATTGTCGTTCAATGATTTATCGTGTTCAAATGTTTTTTTACGGGCATCGAGTTCAAATGATTTATCGTCTTTGAATTAACCATATGGCCATCGTTTTTTACAAATGTACATCTTATCATGTGATAATCTAATCAATATTGTTATTGTGCACACTGTGTTTTAAAATCCTGAATACACCACTATTGGTGACTTTAATTAGATGTATAAATTTTTAAATTTATGGATTGAGAAGTATTAATAAGAAAAAAAAAAATAAAAATAAAGGCAAAATTAATAATTTCCTTCGTTTTTTATTAGATGTAGAAAAAGGCCGACTTTCACTAATTTAGTGTAAAACCGGCCCACTTCTCTCTTCTGGACTGGACTCACACGTGTCAGTCCAGCGGTTATTTTTTTTTCCGTTTTTTTTTGTTTTTTATTTTAGCACATATACTCTTCTACTCTATTCTTCAATTAATTTCTCTGTTACTGCTCTGCAATTTCTCTCTCCTTTGTTCATATTTATCTGCAATTTCTCTTCATCTTTCCTTTGTTTTGTTGATTTTCTTTAGTTGACGAATTGAATTTTGGATTCTCATCGGTTTTGAGGTTAGTTTTTAAATTATTTTTGGTTTTAATTTCAATATTTTTGTTCATTAGTTGTTGTAATTGTTGATTTGTTATGGTTTTTCATTGTGCATGTGTATTATTAACTTGTAATTCTCTTCTTTATTTCAATTTTTAAGTAGAATTCTTTGTTTTTGTTGTATTCGTAAGTATATTAGTTTGATTTTTGGTTTTTTTTTTTATCGTAATTTTGTTCATATTTTATGGTTTCCTTGTTCATTGTGTTCATATTAGATTGAATATTTTAGGTATTACTAGTTTTTTTTTGTTTTTTTTTTCCAGTTTTTTCATTCATTTTCATTCAATTTGTTGTTGATGTCATTATTTGATTAATTAATCGTTCTTATTTTGAATTTCAGGGTTTAATTTCTTGAATTAGCGATGGTGAAGTTTAGAGGTGGTCTTTCGAATTTTTGAAGGAGACGTGGTCTGCGAAGCTATGTTGGTGGATCTGATGATGCTCAAGGTTTTACCAAGTTCTCTATTTACAGTTACAATTTCTTGATTTTTGTACATTTGTTAAAGTTACAAAATTAGTTGTTATAGTTATATAAATGTTTTCTTAAGTTATGCTTTATGTTTTATTATATGTCAGTGTTTTATAAAAGGTATGTTTATTATAGTTATAGTTATACTATTTTTAGTTAAAGTTATGTTAATCTTAAACTTCAGCATTGTCAGCTTGTTATAATTATATAAATGTTTGCTTAAGTTATGCTTTGTGTTTTATTATATGTCTGATATTTTTATAAAAGTTATGTTAATTATAGTTGTAGTTATACTTTTTTTAGTCAAAGTTATGATTTACAGTTTAATACAATTATTTTCTATAGGTGCTAATGATGTAAGCAATGAAGTTAATGTTGATATGGAGAAGGGTGGAAAGAAGGGGGGTAGTGTAGAGGAGGCTACAGTAAAGAAGGGTGTTGTGAAGGAAACTGCAGTAAAGGAGGGTGCAGTAAAGGAGGCTACAGTAAAGAAGGGTGGAGTGAAGGAGGTTGTAGTAAAGAAGGGTGCAGTGAAGGAGGCCGGTTGCAGTAAAGAAGGGTGCAGTGAAGGAGGATAGAAATGAGGATGAGGGTTCTGAGCAGGATGGAGGTGATGAGGATGAGGGTTCTGAGTAGGATGGAGGTGATGAGGATGAGGGTTCTGAACAGGATGGAGGTGATGATGAGGAGGGTTTATAAGAGGATGGAGGTGATGATGAGGATGGTTCAGAAGAGGATAGAGGTGACGATGAGGAGGGTTCAGAAGAGGATGAGGGTGATGATGAGGAGGGTTCAGAAGAGGATTAGGGTGATGAGGAGGGAAGTGAGGACGATTCTGAACAAGAAGTAAGTGAGGAAGAATCTATTGAGAGAAATATGAAAAAAGAAAATTGAGGGTGAAAGCAAAGAAGCCAGTAAAGGATGATCGGCGTCCAGCTGAAAAAAAATCCAGCAAAGGATTATTGTCGTCCCAAGAAAAAGCTAGCTAAGGTATCCAATAATGCTCTTGTTGAGAAAAAACCAAAAAAAGATTATCGTCGTCCGGCCGAGAAGAAGGCTAAGAAGGAGCCAATATAGGATGATCGTTGTCTGAATGAGAAGAAGCGGA